ACGTCTCCCCTTTTTGAGGCTTACCTAGGGAACTTGGCAATTCAACCGCAAGGGAGTGGAGCCATGGACCCTTCAATGCACTCTGCGCTTTCCTAGGCAGATAGTTCATTCCTTAGACTAACCACAAGGGCCACAACCTGTCCTTGAGGCTTTAATGGTTGATGAATGTTTGAGGCTTTAACTCCTTCAGTTCCTCATAAGTCATGTCTGTGCCAACACAGTCATCCACATCAAATTCTTTCTAGTCATTTACATTCGCATATTTACTACATATTTTAGAACCCAGAAGGCTGAAATTCAGCTTACAAATCAAAATTCCTGAAGTTAGATGTTTAATTGAGATGTAGATGTCTATTCACTAGTGTGTGGAAACAGGGCTTGATGTGACTGCCTAAACATAGGTATCTAGTGCCATTTGGCTGGCCACTGCCATTCCAGCAAAGAGGTCCTTTGTCACATCTGCCATGCAGATCTTAGCTAGCTCAGACCATCTCAAGTAGTACTAGATGACTACATTTAGGCAAGTAGGTACAGTTTATTCATTATGTCAGTGAATTTATGTTGACTGAAAGGTGATATCTGATTCTCTGTTTGATTTTCCTTTACGTATTTGAAAAGAGAGAATGAATATCAATGAGTTGAGGTATTCTGTACTGACGAGCAGAATGCACACTTTTGACTCAATGTGTTTGAAGACATTTAAGACAGTAAATGTAAAGGTGCTGATACAGCTTAACTGAATCATTATGTATGATAGTAAGATGTGTAGCATGTCTGCATTTGTGTATGTTGTACAGCCTGGATTAGTCACGCAGAATGGTAAGAACATATATCCATAGTATAGTCTTTGAAATCCACTCCCTGCAGTAGATACAGAAACCTTTTAGGTGAATTAATAGTAAAGAATGTTATGACAAATTTTTGAGAAATGTTATATTCAGTGTTAGGTAGAAGCCAAGGACTTGGGTAATGTTTTCTCAAAAATGTCAAATGTTCAAGAATAGGTACTGCAGAAAAGGGGGTTCAAAGCTGTTGTGGGTTAACTCCAGCCAGCAGCTCAGCCTCACACAGCTGCTTGCTCAGTCACCCACAGTGGGACAGGGGAGAGAATCAGAAGGGTAAAAGGGAGAAAACTCCTGGGTTGAGATAAAGACAGTTTAATAGGTAAAGCCAAAACTGCGTGTGCAAGCAAAACAAAACAATGAATTGATTTACTGCTTCCCACCAACAGGCAGATGTTTAGCCATTTCCAGGAGAGCAGGGCTCCATCACATTTAACGTTGACTTGTCAAGACAAATGTTGTAACTCCGAATGTCCTTCCCTGCTCCTTCCCCGAGCTGTTATTGCTGGCCATGACACCTTATGGTATGGGATAACCCTTTGGTCAGTTGGGGTCAGCTGTCCCAGCTGTGCCCCCTCTCGTCCTCTTGTGCACGCCCAGCCTCCTCGCTGGTGGGGTGGTGTGAGAAGCAGAGAAGGCAGCACTGTTCAGCAGTAGCTAAAACATCAGTGTGGTATCATCACTGTTTTCATCACAAATCTAAAACAGCATGCCACAGGCTGCTATGAAGAAAATAACTCTGTCCCAGCGAAAACCAGGAGGAAGGCCTAACCCAAATGTCAGCAATGAGGGAGTCAGCACAGGAGAGTTTTTGAATGAAGCAAGGAGGTGATGGGAGGAAGTTTAATGTCTAGCCAGAGGGAACTAATCTTAAATCTGTACAATAGAGACCATGATACTTACAGAAAAATATATAGTTGGGTCAGTTTAGTCATCTGTTTAACAGCAAATACATGAGTTGGCATGTGTCAATCTCATGCACTTCTTGTCTTGGAGTTATTTGTGTGCATTAGGCAAACCTAAGACTGCCTTTGGAGCAGATCTTATAATGAACTCATAGTACACTTTGGCTGCTCAGCAGCAGAAAGGGACCTTACAGCTGCTTTAAGATTTTCTAGCACAATGAGAAACCTGAATAGGAAGGAAGAAGTAATTTCTATTGGTCACTGTGAAGGGCCAGGACACAGTTTACATCAGAAGTCCTGGTTTAAGTGCTTGCTTTTTGAAGGCTATTAGCAAATACAAGTTATAGAAAGCAAGTGGTTACTTTAGCATGTCAGGATTTGTTAAGCTACTTGGCAGTTCCCAGGATAAGAAGATGAGAGTGGTGTAAAGTTGCCCATTCTTACCAAGTGTTGTGTGCCTGACTTTAGGATGCCTGGGGAGACCCCTGTCTCCGCACTGCAGCAGTGTGATGTTGAACATCACTGTTACTGTTAAAGGCGTATCTCTGCCAGTCAATTTTTTCCATGAAAGTGAACAAGAAATCTCCTACTCCGTATTTAAACAGCACAGATTTAGTGCCATTGCGACTTCTTTTGCAAATTACATTTATCTCCCTCACATTTGTAATACTTACGTGGTGGATGTTAAGAATTTTTGATTTAGAGTCCATTTAGGCTTCTATTTGTACACTGGGTAGAAATGTACTCAGTAGAATTAGGGTCTGCAAATGCCAACAAGATGATAACAAATAGAAGATACTGTGGAACTGCTGTGTATTCATTTACACTATATTTTCAACTCCTGATGTGCACAAGGTCAGGAAATAAAATTCCTTTTCTTCCAGAATACTGTTGATTGAGACACAAAGCTGCCAAATTGTTAAGTCATTTATCAGAGTATCCGTTTTCCATAATTTTGCAGAGCAGGTCATGTTGAATAAATGGAGGTTACCCAAGTATTTGCAGTGTTCTTGGTTCCATGGACTGTTGTAATTGCTGCTGTGAAACTATTTAGCACACTGTTCCCAGAAAATTTCCCGGAGACTGCCTGATGTTCCTTTTGCTATGACAGAAGCCAAATTAAAGAAGTGTAGGGGTGGTCTGCAGTGCTTGTCTGTAGACATAGTTTTTAGAGCTGTCTACAGACAAGCTCTATGAGCTAAGCTGGGGAGTATAAGTCTACCATTCTAGCAAGGAATTGAAGGGTAGTTCTTCAGAACTGACTTTGTGTGAAATTATGTTAATTTTGAAAAAAAGTTTTTTTAGAATTGTATTTGAAAACAGTTTCAGAAACATTGTTCAAGAAACATTGGACTACTTAGAGTCTTATTTAGCAAACACAGGATTCATGTGGAAAACCAGGATCTTTTTGGGGCATCTACCTAAGTGCAAGCATTTGTACATTCTGGGTAGCTACTCTTGAATTAGTCACTGTACGGCCTCTTCATTGTCTGTAGAATTATATCCAGTGAAGTTCGTGTTGATTGCTTACATAGATACAAGAAGTGCATCCTATAAAGCCCTATGAAGGGACCCTACATTGCCTTTGATATTTATATTTGCAGTGTAGACACCTAACGCTGGGTGAAATAGAGCATAGAATTTATGCCCACCGAGAGTCCCTAGGAATGCAGTGGGGATTAGCAAATATACAGCAGACTCTTTATGGAGAGCAAATAAAATAATACTTTATGTTTCACCATTTTAACCAGCCAGGGACACCAATTTGAAAAACTTTAAAAATTTTAAAAATAACCAAAACCAATATTTATTCAGGATCTTAACTGAAGAACTTTCTTATGGTCATTCTAATGGCATTGGAAACTTCATTAAGTCCATATATTCCTTCTTTATCTCTGCAGTAAACAAATATTACGTAGAGCAAACCAAATATTAAAATGTCAGGACTGTTGTCAAAAAGACCATCCCAGCTGACTTCTCTAATTAAATAAGGAGATTTGTGTTTCCTGTGACACCTCATATACCACTTTTAGCTCCTAACAAGCATTACAGTTGCTATGAATACACTTCAGGTCTATGGCAGTTATGTTTCCCTTACTTTTCCCCTTTAACCATATCTACGATAGTGCAGTTGCAAGATACTTCACTTAATTTCACATTTAATTTGGTCTTTTCCATATCTGTATATTTGCTAAGTGAATGTCCAGCTAATTTCATTATGCATCAGGATTGCTAAAGTTACCTCTATACTTGGCCTTTTAAATTCTATGAAAATAAATATATTAAGTGATTTACTTCTCTCTGCTATTTTAGTTTATTTTAAAGTATTGCTTCCTTGTAGATTTTGCAAACATTTTTCAAGAAGGCGAGTGATATAACCATGTGCACTAAATATTGAAATTTTGTCTGTTATACATAGCACATTCTACACTACTATTTAAAACTTTAATTTCATAACACAGTAAAAAGCTTTACAGCTTTAATATTTTATCTAGCTTGAGTGGGAAATGATGTCAGTCTAATGACTTTGGTTTAGACATAAATGAAGCAGCTTAATTCTGAGAATATTTAGCATTATTTTTCTTGATGTCTTTCTGAATAGGATTTAATGTAATATGTAGCTGGTAAATTTACAGATAACTGCAGTTAATCAGCAGACTGTGCACTTCATTCTGCTTTTCCTCTGTTGAAAAATTTAATTCCCAAGTTTTAACAAATAACTTTAGTAAAGAAAGAAAGGGTTGTTTGGGTCACAATTTAATAAAGTATTTGAATATTTAGATTAGGAAATTAATGAGACTTAAACATATCTTTAAAATTAAACTAATATATAAATGCATTACAAAGTACACTAGAGCAGAAAAACTGAGAGAGATTCTCTTCTTTCAGAGATAATCCATTCTTTCAAACTGTGGCCCATTCTTTCCAGTTTGAGTGTGTTTATGGAAGTTGATTAATCTGGTACTTTCTTTGACCTCATTGACATGGCTAATCAGCTGAAATTATACCATCTTGTGCCTAAGTTTTAAGTTCCTGAGGCTGTATTTTCTACTAAGGTCGATTGGCTTGAGATTTTGCGTTGCAAAAATATGTTGGAATAAAGATACAACATTCTCATCATGTACGGTAGAGCAAAGAGTGAAAATAATGCTATTTATTTAGCCTTCAGAGCTATTTAATGGAAAATGATATAATTTCACAGTCAATTTTATATATCAGTAAGTGGTTTTTATATATATTTTTTTTTGTGCAGGTCAACTTCTATGTAAGGGTGAAAGCAATTTATACCCTTGGACACAGTGTATCTCTGATTGCTCTCACTACAGGAAGTATAATTCTTTGCCTTTTCAGGTATGTATTTTCATGAGTAAATATGAATGATGATAAGATGGTTTTAACTGTTGTCTGAATGCTCAGATATTTAGAAAATGCATCTGTCTACACTTTTCTCAGTTAGACAGCTGACAATGATGTAATGCTAACTAGATTTGTGCTATCACCAGTCATATTTAAAAATTTCAGAACACTTTACAAATTTACACACGTTACAGCCCATGGAAAAAAGAATAGTAATTTACGAATGGGTTATATAAAGCATTTCCTACTTGATTATTAAAATCAACACCTTGAATTGCTCTTGAAAATTAGTAGGATACTGGTCTCAACACTGGACAAGTGGGCAGCCATATTTTGCAGAATCTTCTGAGTGGTCTGTAGGAGTACTATAATTGAAGGTAATCATTAATTTCTCCAAGTGGGTTTGTAAAGGTATGCATAATTGCACTGAAGTGTAGTGGTGAGTGTGCAATGACTTTTTAAACAGTGATAGGAAAGGCAGTACTGTCTGTTGATTTTATCTAATTTCTGGAAGTTATCTGAGACTGAAAGGAATCTCCAACTGGTAAATGAAATTGCAAAATGGAATTATCAGTATCATAGCTTTTTTCAGACTCTCCACCTTCATGCCTTTATGTGTCACTTCTACGTGTCTAATAGAATAGCCTTTATATTCTCCATCATAAACTTCACACAGCTTTTCAGTTCCATTCTGCAGCAAGAAAACCAAGAAAATGCATCTCTCAGATTTGGTAGGAAAAAAAGTCCACCTAATTTGTAGAGGACAGCATGTTGTTTGTCAGGGCCTCATTCCTCTGATGAACTATTCCTGTGGCAAGTTCTGTAAGCCTTTTAGTCCGCCATCAAATTTTCTCTATATGTAGATACTCAGAGACTATTCAGAGCAGATACATAACCCATAATTATATTTTGGGATATCTTTGGAAAAAAATTAGTCATTCACAGTTATCTTCTTTCTATCAGCAAACACTACAGACAGATCATGTATTTTCAAAACTACTAAAACCTAATATCACATTTAAAACAGTGTTACAAACATCTGAATATTGTCAATCACCAGAAGTCAGTTATAACAAACAGATCAAGAATTTCAGAGGTGTACTCAAAACCTTCAATTTAAATATCCAAATTGAGAACTCCCCAGTCTCTCTGTTGAGTCAGTGGAAAGACCCAGGCTTTTTTTCAGGGGGGAATATAAGGTCCTCTAAGTCTCTCCCTAAAGAAACCTGTTTCTGTTATCTACAGGGAGTGTAGGGGCCTCCTAACATAGTGAGTTGAATTAAGAACCCAAAGAAGTTGTAAAAATACCCCATTCAATATATTGTTTCCCATGCACGTAGCCAGCAGCCAGTTATTATGGAAGGCTGCAGCTGAAGCAATTGTAAATTATCAATAATAGAAGTGAATGCAAATGAGTATGTATGTATGTCTGTCCTTCTCTCAGACATGTTGTAGAGCATCCCATTCTTCGTTATTTTTAAAGACAGAGTTTATCAGCTATAAACACATGAAAGGCAGAACTATTGGGTGGGGAAAGGAGAGTTGTTTCTGAAAGTTTCCATGCAGTTGCAATATTCTGTTTTGCATTTCTTCCAAGGAACTGAACTTGATTTTAAGCCTTACAGAAACATTATATGGGTTCCCATTATTAATATCTGTGAAGGACACATTTAGAAGCATTGTAAAAAGAAAGGATTTTATATCTGGCTAATCTTCAAAACAAAGACATAAAACAAGAATATCTGTAAATACCTTGCCAGACTAAGCTGACATTACTCAGGTTACTGTGGTGCCTCTCCTCACATAATACTCTATGTACTTATTATAGTTAAAGCTAATTGGTAACTTCCCAGCACAATATTTTCCTGTTGGAGGTTACCACTTTGTCAGGCACATTCTTGCATCTGCAAACTTGATTTATAAACAGCAAAACTAATAATTTTGACTTAGTCAAAAGAAGTTGCTTTACTAATGCAAGTTTCTTCATTTTGAATGTCTAAGTTTTAATATATCATAAAATTTTAGAAAAGTAGAAATAAAAATGATTGAAAATAAATAGTATTTTTCAGATATTTTTAAAAAGGTTGGTTTGTTCCAACTCAAAGTGAAAATAAATTGTAGAACGGCATATTTCTACATAACACTGGCATTCTAGATCTTACTGTACTTCCTTCGGAGTTACTCCTGTATAACAAAATGTTCCAAAAAAATGTCAGCTTCTCTGATATGTGTTTCTTACCAAGGAGAAGAATATAAATCTCTGTCATTTCTATAAGATATGCTCTCATGTGCCTTGTCTGTAAATGTTCCTTACATGGTAGTTTTGTATCGTGAGGTAGTCATATCAAACGAATAAGCATTATAGCTTTTGTTTCATTGTTAAAGATCAGCATTTCTTTTTTATTCTGATTCATCATACATATCTCAAATATGAATACTTTCTTGCCCGCTACCTCCAAAATGTTGGTTTGACAGCCTTGTCAAACATTTATTAATTCAGCTACTGAATGGGATGAAGAACTAATTCTTCTACATTACCTACTCAAGAAAAATACTTTCCTCCCATTTGCAGCTTACATTTATCTCTGTATTCCATTGGAACATACAATGCAGTCCAATGTGTTAGCAGTATTTCAGTTTTTCTCAGAACCTGTTTCAGTCAAGAACATGCATAGCCACAAAAATCACTGGGTTTTTGACAACTGCTTTATGTTCAGCCTGGTATTACATCCTTTGCCAAACTGGGAGCTAGCAAGATGAATCTGTTATTTATTTCCCTATGTTCACTGTAACTACCCTTGCTTTAGTAGATTCAGAACGGATTATTTAGTGTTCTTCAGTAAAAATAAAAACATGAAAACTACTTGGAAGCTGCCACTGCACACCACTGTAATATCCTCTTGCGTCTTTGTTCTTTCACTGCTAAAATTCCCCAGCTTCTGGCTTATTTCCAGGTGCAGTTCAAAGTGCTGGTTTTGACCAAAAAAACCTCTTAGCAGTTTGGTTTCTGGGGATTTGCTATAAAAAAATTCTGTTAAATGGGAAGATCTTGAAGGGAATGTTATTTTAAGTGAAAAGCCCTCAATTTATAACTTGCTTCCCCTGAGCACTCATTCACTTACCCGGAATGTGTAATTTGTCAGGCTTTCTCATGGCTGCTGGACTGAAGAAGAGAAGTTTTACATCTCACTGGATAGAAAGGATAGGCAATCTAATATTTGAATGCATTTTTTTAATTTTTCCTGCATATACTCACATCACAGATGAAAAAACATTATATAGCAAAATGCAGAAGTTGTATAAAAAATTAAACCAGAAAATAACAGGTGAGACCATCTGAAATCCAGGATAATCAAATTTTTATTTGCAAGAAAAACACTGGGATGAGTGCACACACAGAAGGATATAATAATCTGTTTATTGTCAGTTTATGTTAAAGTGTGGGAGAAATACCACTGGGATCTTTTGGTCTGTGATAGTGAAAAGGAGAAAGAGATACTTTATTTGTGTATTTTGGACAATCTATAATGATGATGAGGATGATGATGATAAACGAAAACAGCAAGACAGCACTGACAATATGACAAAGGAGGAAAGGGTAGGTTCTTACTATAAGAAATGATTGGAGAGTAATAGAAGTCTGTTCAAGAGCTTTCTGTCTCAAAATCTAAAATGCCTTTTTTAAAATCTCTTCTTAGAAAACTCCATTGTACTCGGAACTACATCCATCTGAACCTGTTCCTCTCTTTCATTCTAAGAGCAATCTCTGTTTTAGTCAAGGATGATATTCTCTATTCCAGCTCCAACACAGCTCACTGTCCAGAGGATCAAACCTCATGGGTAATAAACCTCATTTGCTACCTGGTATAATACTGTTGTGTCACTAAATTTTCCTCCCTGATCCTTTTAAATATTTAGGAATATCACACTGTCAGTGTAGACAATTCTGTAGAGAATATGATGACTAGCAAAATGGTCTATTAGAATTAGACAAAGAAGGAAGGTTGCAGCACAAGTAGCAGAACTTACTGTTGGTTTGCATGTTCATGAAGGGACAGCATGTTGTCTACCAAAATAAATCATCACCAGCTATAGCTCAGAATAAATGTGGCCACTGCCTTAATCAGCTGGAAGAGTTTAAGACAAAGAAGAGTGCCATCAGCTGGGAACGATTGAAGGCAGTTCATCTGGAAGTGTTCCAACAGCTTTATCAAGGGTCCAGAAGATGGACATATATCAATGGAGATAAATGAATCAGGGAATTAAATATTTGCAGGAGTTGTCTTTATTAACTCCTCTGTACTTTCTGGCTATGACCAAAGTGGTGTCATCTGCATTCTTGGCAAGCTAGTATGTTTACTCCATTTTCATGCACAGTGATTAAAAAAATCTGAAGCCTTACTGTTAAAAGACTGACCACTGAATGATATTCCGCATTCTCTGCTGCCGTTGTTTCAGTCAAAAGCGCTGCAGAAGAACCCTACAAATATTGGTGACTACCTTCTGAATTTAATTTACTACTGTTTAAGCTTGTGAGAATAAAATGTAAGGATGTTATTTTTATATTGATGAAGCCATATTGTCCCAAAGCATAAAGTACTTAGCAGTGACTACCAAGCTGTATGTATGAATTAGTAATCTTTAGTAGTCTTCATTTTTAACGAAGACAAATAAGCTTTGAGTTAGTAGACCCAAACTAGGCAAAGTAGTTCAGAGGCAGACTGCCAGGCATAATCAAAAGTTCTTAGGTCCTTGAAAAACTTGTCAATGGACCATAAAAATACTACTTGATTTCTGCGATTTCTTTTATTCTCCAGTTGTTCTCGGCTGCAAAGGAGCATACTTTCCTATTTGAATACATCCAGTTGTTGTGCACTATTGAGTAATTTCTGTTGCATTATACGTGGGATGATCTGACACCAGCTTGGCAAGGCTCTTTTGTCCTGCATTCGCTGGATGCTACCCTTCTTAGGTAACGGCATGTGGGGTTTGCCCCTTTTGTCACATATGTGTGATGTTCCACAGTTCTACTGCACACACGATGTCTAAAACCATGCAGTTAAAAATGCAGTGTAACTAGGTCCTGGATCTGAATGGCACAGAGCCATAATTTTGGCTAACTCTTTACGGACAAATACCTTTGCTGTTCAGCATCTGGAAATAGCCCTGGTACAGGAATACTTGCAGGAGGAAAGGAAAATATTTCGATGAGGGATTTTGGTATGTAAATTGGGAATATAATACAGGGCAGTCTTGGAATTTAAAAGAGATTACAAGAATTTTAGACTTTGCTAATCTGGTTGTAAGTAGTCATAAACATAAAAGCAAATTTCAACTTGCATTTTGAAATGTTTAATTTTCTCTGTGTTAAATTTTCTGGACCATTACTGGTCTGTAATGGATATCCCTTCAGTGGATACCAAGTCCAGATGTAAGATTAGTTTTACCAAACGAGATGACTGAAATAAGTTGTTTCTCTGGGTTTCTGTCTTTCTCACTGGCCAGTTTATCTCATCTGCTTTAAGACTTTCTCTGGATATGCCTGCCTCTCTTCATGAGCTGTATAAGGAGCTAGTTGGTAGGTGGCTAGCTTTCACCAGAAACCTTGCTTGTAGGCAGCTGAAATTAGGTGAAATTAATTTAAGCCTTTGGGCTCTTACTTAGTTGTTTATATGGGCATGTACACAGGCATAAATATAGCCTTATATGTTACTTGGTATGTACTGAGACATCTGAGGCACCACAAGGGGCTGATGGATACGAAGAACTATCTCTAGGAGGTTTATGCCCTGCTGGTTCATCAGCTGGACCCTGAGGGCATCTAACTTCATAACAGACACCTATGTTTAGACAGAGGCATCAATCACTAAATGAGTAAGTTACCTACTTAGTTATTTGGTGTACTTGGAATTTTAACAGAAGCAGTGAAGGTATGAAGGGTATTTAAAATGGGGGAGTAAAGCAGGCAGAAACTAGAAGCTTTATTTAGTTCATTTTGTTTAGTCTGTTACACTCACCAATTTCTCAGCTCAGTCTCAGCAGAAACACTTTATGTTCAATTCTCGCATCCCAGATTCCTGCTGGGAAGTACCAAAGTAGCAGCAGCCAGCACTGTGGAACATCAGCAGCACAGACATCTGAAAATTAATTCTGAAGAGCAGCACACAGCCTATAAGTATATCAGAACTTCATTTTATGATACATGCTTATGTGTTTTGTTACTTAAGAATCACAGAAGCATTTTCTAAAGGGAAAACATAATTTTTAAAAGTCCAGTCAACTTTTTCTTCTAAGTCTACTTAGAGTATACATTATGTAAGATTATATTTTTCACTCAGTTTCCTGTTTAGCCTTGAAAAGTTCATAAGGCAGTTTCTTTGTTAATTTTTACTATGTTAGGAAAGCCAGCTGGGATTTTAATATATTTATTAGCCTCCTAGTAGGTGATCATTTAATCTAGTAACCATTCATTAACTAGCTATTGCAAATGTGTACATTTATTGATAACCACTACCTTTTACATTATTTATGCTATGAAGTTTTTAAAATTTCTGACTGAATTTGCTATAAGAGCCATCTAAATATTTTTTTTTTACAATTCATTTTCTTGTTATATATACAGTAACGTTTATAATGTCTCAGTTTGCTTGACTGAATAAAAAAATCTCTACTGGACCAGGGTTGCTACTATTACATGCAGAGTTAAGACCTATAGGATATATTAATAACAGAATAATACAGCATCTTTCCTGAAACAACTTTGATCCCTATTCTCGTATTTCAGGTGGGCTGCAAGGCTATTTTGGTGTTTTTTCAGTATGGTGTTATGGCAAACTTTTACTGGCTCTTAGTTGAAGGACTTTACCTCCACATTCTCCTTGTGCTAATATTCTCCCCCAACAGACACTTCACAATCTACCTGCTGATAGGATGGGGTAAGAACTTAAAACATCTTCCAATAGTATTATTTTTTCTGTATGAACGTATTAGGTTGAATATGTCATACCGAGGTAGTCCTGCCATTTCTGCTGGATGACTCCTCAGACCCACTAGTTCCTCAGTTCAGCTCTAGCAATAGTTACAGCCATGGGAGACAAGGGGCACAAAACTGCTGAAGCATAACTGCTAGCTTGCTCCTTGGCATGGCTCTGACCTGTGCCAATCTGCACAATGCCCGGGGCTTGTTCTGGATATAGGATGGTACAAGGACTGTTACTACAAAATATGAGATTCATATGTGATATGTGTCCTAATTTGGGAGGAAAAAGAAGTTCAGCTGCACAGACACAGGCTATGCTACACTATTTGCTTTTTTGAAAAGCCCAATAATATTGTTCATCTGGTTTTAAATACATGTATTCCCTTCATTTCCAGAAAGTGCAATGATACAGATACAGAACACTTTAAAGCTTCCAGTAATAGGTGGTCATAAAACATTTAGGTATTGCTGGGAAATAGGAATGAACCAGTGTATGGGTATGGTTCCTTATGAAATGATTTACACTTCGGTTTTAGATTGTAGTCCTTGGAAGTGCATTGGGAATGCATAACTTGTATCTATCTCCCTGTAGGTCACTCTGACAGCTTGAAAGAAACCTAAGCAAGGCATGTTCTTTGTGTATTAGTCATTATGGCTGCATTTTTATAAGAAATAAATCCACTTCACTGCAGTCTTTGCTTGTAATACATTGCTTACATCACGTAGCCTATCAGATGGTCAGATGGGCCTCTTCCTTCATTCACTAAACTACTTACTATATGCTTGTATTTGGGGAATAATTGAATAATCAGTTACTATCAGGCTGAATTTTTTTTTTTTTTTTTTGGTGGACTTACATTTTTGTGATCATCCTCTAAACCTCTTTGGGATTTTTCAGGAATTCCTACTATATTCATTATTACATGGACAGTGACACGGATCATTTTAGAGGACACTGGGTAAGTGTGTGGGGGAGAGAAAGCTTAAAGCATCCAACTATGCCAATACAATCCTTGCCTTGGATATGGTGGTGTTGACACAATAGTTCTGAAGGGGACAAACACAGAACTGAAATTTCAGATATAGCAATAAAGGAATGGCTTTACAGCTCTTCAGCACACATCTTATGCTTGCTGTTTATTTTAAAAACTCTGAGGACAGAGATAGGTTATGACTAACGTTATCCTTTGAGATCCATATTTAGAGCTATCTGCTTTGGAACTCAAAGTATTACTTAAAATAGCAGTGGGGGTCCTTGGGTTCAATGCTGCAATAGAATGCAGTAAGACGGTGGGTATTGTAATTTGCTAACTAGCAACTGAAAAGACTGAAATCTGGATAACTTTGGGTATATCTAAATTGCATTCCCAGAAGTGAAGCGATGTGATGTAAACATATGTAAGATGCGCGTAGTCAGGTAAAACTATGACTAACTAGAGCTAGGCCTGGCTTCTGGCATGGGAAGGGGAACTGAGAAAAGAATTTTGTAGGAATATCAAACTTGCTGCTCCTGATGGCCCCAAGGAATGGGAGAGCATTCCTAGCTAGTGGGACACAGTTTTCACACTCCCTTTTTTCAACCTGACTAATATTTTTCAATTGATTCTGTAATTAAACTGAAAAATCATGTCCTACATAAGTTTTCTTTGCAAAAGCTCTAACATGTAAACCAAAGGCTAACTCCTGTTTCCTTTGTCATTATGATCACAGTTAGAGGAACTCTGAAGGGTATTGTCCTTGCTTAAAATTAATCTTTCAGAGCACTTAGAGTATTTGGACCAAAAGTGCTGAGCCCACAGAAATTAAATACTCAGTTTTTCAGACAAAAGTGTCAGGTTCAGTCTCACATTTTCCTGAACCAGTTCCAGCCATCTGTAACCTAAATATCCCACAAGGAGTCATGTCATTTCAATTGTATCTGTCAGTTGCTTTAGATCTTCCTGCTACCCAGAGGCTAGTGTTAAATGCTTATTGGAAAAGTGTCCTTACACAAAGTGAAACTAAGCTTGGTTTCCCTAAAGGCCAACGTCCTCCATGATGTCTAATGGTACAGTCTAGTGTGCCTGATGCTTTAGCTGATTTGAATATGCATATTAAAACCAGGGAAATAAAATTAAAGGCAGAAAAAGATGGAATGCCAAATTCTAGGCTAGAACAGGCATTATTTTAGTGTGCTATGACTTGTATATAAGAAATAATTCTCGTCATAGGTCTGGCTTGCCAGATGATATTAATGTCAACATCATTTTCCCTTTTTTTTTATAGTTGCTGGGATACAAATGAGCATGGTGGTCCCTGGTGGGTTATACGAATACCAATTTTAATTTCTATTATAGTAAGTAAACTTTGAAGCATGAATTATAGATCAGTTCAGCATTATGCAGTGCATATAGCCATTATTCTTTATTGCTAGTTACAGATAGGCAAGAATTCTTCTTTAATGAAAAGAAATTGCACTATAGGAGAAATGTTAAACAGATGCCAAAGCCATTAAAATTTGTTGCCTTCTAAATTTATCTGCCTCCTATTAAATGAGCAGTGGCTTTTATTTGTATGTTGTTCTTTCTTTAACATCTCTCCTGTTTATGAGCCTGGGGGAAGCAAAGAATCTAATTATACTTTTCAATGAATTGCAGATTTGATTTTGCGTGTAAATAAGTAGCCCTGCAATTGAGAATCTGATATTATTGCAGCCATAAAAAACTGTGGCTACGTATATCTTTCTTTAATTGGTAGCCTACTGAAATGTATAATGAATGTGAAGTATTTGCAGAAGAACACCATTTGAGAATGTTTCATGGGGCTTTTCCTATGCGGAACTCATTAGAATTACTGGAGTAGCATAATAAAATTCCTATTCACTGTGATGATTGTGTAATTAACTTTAGGCATAATATAATATGGTTATATGTCCATCTCTGAAAACAGTCACAGTGCAAATTAATACATTTCAGATATGCTTACTTTATTTTTAATACTTTAGTCAGAAAAATCAAGGCATTATTAGATTACTTAAGATTCCAAGAGTCCATGTTACACTTTGGGCTTGACTTTCAATCTGTGTCTGCTGAAAATCATTTTGAGAGAACTTCCTATCATCTTCATCAGAGTGAATTCTGTAGTGTTTGGAGAGAAAGCAGAGTAGGCATATGAGTGAAATGATGTAAGGTAAGAACTCACAGAAAAGATGTTTTATGATACAAAGAAAGGAGCATGCCACAGAACGACAGCATGAAAATAATACATGTACCTCCAAGGAGCTGGAGCATGGAGGGTGGGCCAGAGTAAAGAAAATATGATGAAAAATAAAAACAAACCAAACCACCTGGGGTTTACAGAAAGATGAGTCTGTTCTCTGGATGTTCAATTTAAACAGCTATCTGGTAGACAGCTGAGACTTCATGTGCCAGAAAGCAGTGCTTCTCCAAAGAAGTCCTAGACTTGGAAACAGAAGTTATCCAAGTGCTCACTGGCAGACTTGACTTGCAGGTGGATCTTAGCAAAGACTGAGACATGAGTTGTGAGTTAAGAAAACAGAGTACTAGTCAGTCAGCAAAAGTCCAGTATATCATAAAATCTGACTGGAATCATTGTTTGAGGCAAAGGAGGTGTCATTCTCCTTTTTTTTTTTTTTTTTTTTTCCAATGGTTCTATTTTTGATTTGATATAAAGGGATTGTAAGACATAGGCAAATATTTTGCAAATGACCTTTTCTGGCTTGCCAGGTACACATGTTTGGGATCTGCTATCTCCTTCCAGATATTTTTCTTCTCCTAAACATCATGTTTTAGGGGTGAGAGCAACTAAAGATGGCCAAGTGATTCTGCAGTGTCTACTGTGTGAAGCCACTTCTCTGATCAGATGATTCTTCAGCTGTTTGATCAACTACATTTTGCATTTGGGAAGTTAAGTTGTAAAGGGGAGTTATAAAAGCAGTGACACTCACCTTTCCTGCTGGATAAGTAGCCTGTCTTTTTGGAGCATCAAACTACAACCAGCACATTAATTGTGGCAGCTAGGATGCTATGCAAACTTACCGTTGTGCAAAGTAGAGTGTGCAGTCTTAGAGCAAGAGGAGCTAATGAAATGTCATGTAAAATTATTATTTGACAAGTGAAAAACACTACATTTGTGAGAACATAATTTTCAATATACATATACCATGGAAAGCCTCACCATTCCCTCTTACCTTTAGAAAAAATAGAAGTTGAAGATTTAAATATTTGAATAGTAAGGTCAGTGCTGCCTGCCATTCAACAAAGAAAATAGATCATTGCAAGCTCTTTGGATAGATGGTGTGAAAGAGTCATGATGTTTCTCAATAAAAGTGTGATGTAGTTACAGCCTCCTGGTTTGGGGCTTTGGGATAGGGTTAGTAAAAAACAATAAAATGCTCATTTTCACAGTGGTAGTAATGTTTCTCTAGGTTGATTTCTTCTAAAATGTGTGCATTTGATACAGCTGTTTGTTTATGTAGCTGTAGCTGTAGTTTTTAGTTCATGTTGCTGTGAAGGTATGAATTCCAAGTGTTCCCTCACTTTAGTACGGTCATGCAATATTTAGTGTGTGGTTTTCTAGATCACGTCAAACAATCCAGCAGCGGAAGGGCTTCTTCACACAAGATGCCAAAAGCCAGGGGTGAAGAAATAATTGGGAGTGAGACTTAGGACCTACTGAGTTTTATAGTTCAATTTTCTAGATTGATCAGGGTCTGATCAGAACTTTTATTATGCAAGTGCCTTTCTATAAAATAAAATATGAAATAAAATAATACTACTGTTCTATCTCAGAGGGCTGTCACGAGAATTAGACTGCAAGGATTCAGTTCCTTCAGTGATAATGTCTGCATCAATCCCAAGACAGACAGATACTTATGAGAGGCCCTTTCTGTGCTCGATTAGAGTGTACAGATCACCTGTGCAACAATCTTCGCTTTCCCTAATTCAAACAGAATATATTAAAAGTCAAGATGAGAGGCAAGAGAGGGTCAAAACTGTGTATGGGACTCACAGTTTCCTTTGGGCTTCCAGTTGTGAATCCATGTGACAATTTAGGACAATGCTTGATTGCACTGAATGGCATCCAGTGCCATCCTTTTAGGAAACCTGTCTTCAGCTGAGTTTCTGGAAGAAGGGTGTTTCTGACAACTTGAGCTTTAAAAGGCTTTTGCTAGCCAGCCTAGAACTGGGGGCCACACAGAGGTGTGCTGGACAGAACGAACCTAGTGAGGCAGAAAACAGACAATAGGTTTGATAGTGTAGAGCTTGATGTGTTCTGGCAGGAGGTACACAACACCCACAGCTGGGCTGATTTGTCTGGCTTGATAAGCATTTCTTTGTGCTGCATATTGAGTGGAGAAGTCAGAAATCACCATTATATTTGTTTTCTTTGCAGGTGAATTTTATACTTTTCATTAGTATTATAAGAATCTTACTGCAGAAGTTAAGATCTCCAGATGTTGGAGGAAATGACCAGTCACAGTACAAGTGAGTCATATTTTTAGATATTATATAAAGAACCAAAATAATCTCTGTAACATTCCCTCTGCTGAAACATGCTACCAACAATTGCTGTGATACTATAAATACCTTTAATTCAGACGTACTTTTAGATGTGGTTTAATAAAGATCTTGTCATTATGCCAAAATAGAGATTAACATAATTTTTTTTTGTCAGACACTAAATTCAATTAAAAATATGCAATTTCATAAAGATCAACAAGCTATTCTTGAATTTGAGTTTAATGAATATGCTGATACAAAAAGTATGGAAACTAATATCTTTCTTTTAATGTATAACTATTTCAACATAACAAAAGTTTCAAGATCAAAACATTTTGCTTCAGCCTCCTTAAAACATTTTTTTTTCATTTTTCATTTCTAAAATACATTTTGTTGTAATATTTACATAGATATTAAGAGCTGGAAAGAAGTTATGTTGTTCCCAAAAAGTAAAAAACCTAAATATACTGGTTTATGTTGATTTAAAATAGCATCTTTATTTTTCTAGAGGAAAATGAGTGTTTCTGATTTAGATCAATTTCATTTCTGAATAGGCTTTCTTTCTTTTGTGTTTCGGTTTGAACATCAAATCCTAACATCCATTGTTTCCACAGCTTTAAATCGAGGAATGTTGGGGAGCAATTTAAATACATTGCTAAAATTGGATTTGTTCTTTATTATATTGCCATATCAGTTATTGTTGTTTGCTATAATAGCTGCTGGATACTGTAATCCAGAATCAAGAGTCTGCTGTAGTAGGTCTTATTTTAAAGCCCAGATACAGACACTGAGTTTGACACTTCAGGATGTTAATATGGCATTTCAATGACAAAACCTAACATGAACACTGAATATTCAAAATATGTTTTTGAAAATGTGCTCCTGGGTAACACCTTTCTTTTCATTTAAAAAATAGTGAATTCCTGTCCTAAAAGTAGATAAAACATGGTATGCTAAAGTAAATCATATCTTTAAAGCCAAGAGAACTAGGACCTTACATGTTTTGTAAACAACATGACACATTTGATGCAAAAAGCAAATAATTGTATTGCTCCACAGAAAGGGGGACATACTAGATTGACATAAGGCTTTGCTTCATAGAGCTACAAGGGTCCATTTTTTGTGTTTGCTGCTTGAATTATCTAAACATGTAGGAGAGCCAAATCAACACAGACAAAATTATGCAGTTGCCACAGTATTGTTTATCATAATGTCTGACCTGTGGGCAGGAAATCCCCTCAAGTTTACTTCTTGTGACAGGAACTCTGTTTCCATGTGGTATTTATTTTATGAAAACAAGGCATTCCCTTCCTATCAGCCCCAACATTTTCCACAGCTTACTGTAGCGCTTCAGAGTATAAAATGTTCATTAATAGCAACTTATTCCTTCATTATTCAGCCCTGTGAATTCTTTGCTTTTAGCATTTGATTGCCTGATTAAGTTTGGATTGGATGGTCTTTAGCCGATACCCATGGGAACAGTAGATTAACCTCCTCAAGAAATACTGCATCTACAGAGCAAATTAAAGGTCGGGAAGGATCATTTTTCAAAATGCTTTTTATAAAATACAGAGAAGAATAAGGCTATTCTGTCTGTCCCTTTCCTTCACTAAAATGTAAGTGCAGTATAGAGAAAATAACATTGTCTAGACAAAAATTATTAAAACAAGAATGGAGTGAAAGTGAAATATGAAGCTAAAATGAATACTGCTCATCCAAGTCACTATTTTGATTCCCTTCCTCTGTCCCACTTGCTTGTACCTGGTTCCATCCTTTTTTTTTTGTTCATTTTACTTTTGCAATGGGTAAGGTTAAGTTCAAATAAAATCAGTTTTCCATTTCACTTGGGAAACCAGGAAATTTGCTGCCATCATCATCTCCTGCAGTCATAAATGAATTTCTTCTGCTAAGGAAATCCTATTTGTCCCACTCACTGATATCACCTTTGGATGCGAGGGTTTTACTATTCTTGAGAAACTTTGCTGTCAGAACTGATTATTTCAACATAAATAGATGCAGCCTCTGGGACATTGTGAACAAAGGAAGGCCATGAAGACTGACACAGAAAAAATAAAACTGCTTGAAATACCTTGACTTTTCTGTTAAAATAGATGAAGTCACAACAGCATCCTTTCATTGTTGAATCAAGTTATATTCATCAAGACAGTGATGAATTATGGGACTCAACATTATAACTTTTTGAATTTTATCTGATACCAGACATCCATAATCATGCATGACCAGCCCTGGCTAATATATAAAACTGATGTTATTAGAGTGAAATAAGTGACAGATAAGGGAGAATTAGTAATTTATCATTTCAGTGGTTTCACAGGCAGTTTGTCAAAGCTGCTCTGCTTAATAATTTAAAGTTCTCCTTACTTAACGTCAGTAGCACTATGTGCTAAAATGTATTATGTAATTGAATGCATTAAAAATTAGTTAATGGTATATGCTTAATACCATCAGCATAGTTACGAGATTTTGGTATTTGGGGGTAAATCTGAAATTGCTCATGAAAATCTCACAGTTAAGATTATTCTGGATTACATTTCCTAGGTACTGTTAGCATACTGCGTATGTTCAATGTATAGACTAACCATGCAGTTGCATATTTAAAGGTTATTCACATTAATTTCAGCGAGAGATTTTGCCTTCCATACAAGAGGATCTCTCAGTATGACTTTGCAGGAAGGCATTATTCCTTTCCTCTCTGAACCTTTTATGCCAGGTAAAAAATATCTTGGCACATCTGACACTTTGTCAAATGTGGTCGTGTGGAATAATGCTGTAAAACCTCAGCCCCCAGAACCTCACCATGAAATCGGGCTGGGAACTGGATGTGTGTCAAAAAGGCACAGCAGGTCCTACACCCTGCTGCTGTCCAGAAGGCAACTGAAAACGGATCTTTTGGTTTTGAGAGGCCCTGCAGCCTTCTACCAGCTTTGGGAAGACTGCAGGGTCAGCAAGATGAAGTATAACATGGAATTGCACACATTAATTTATGAGGTTACTATGTGGCTAATCTCATGGCAAGCCTGAAAGGAAAACAGTTTGCAATAAATGACTCTTACTGTTTATAAATCTGAAGTCATATGAGGTTTATGTAAATGACACTGCATCAGGTTCTTATCTGAGTAAAACAAGAGCTTATCATTAAACTCCAGGTTTTTTCTCTTTTATTTACCCAGGAGACTTGCAAAATCCACGTTGTTACTTATTCCGTTATTTGGAGTTCACTACACAGTGTTTGCTCTATTTCCTGACCGCAGCTCCAATAATTATAAAATAATCTTTGAGTTGTGTTTGGGATCTTTTCAGGTAAATTTAAAAGTTTTTATTCAAAGGAAGCTTTATTGACCTAGGTTGATGCTGCCTACTAACTAAAGAATATTGTTTCTTCCCAGGGGTTGATTGTTGCTGTCCTGTATTGTTTTTTGAACAGTGAAGTAAGTCTCACCTTTCCTACTGAGGATGTTAAATATTGTTTTCAGTAAATGTGTAAGTGCCCCTACAATTCCACTCTGATACATGAAGCTGTTTTAGAAGATGTTTGCATTTCTATTTATAGAATATATATGTGGCAGTTTCTGTGCAACAGGAGAAATCAGTGTATTTAGGTGAAGAGTTAAGAGCTGTTTGAAATCTAATTCTTTCAAACCAAGGTGTTAGTGTGTCTGCTGTTATTTAATGTGATCTAATTCTAGCTTTGTTACAAACAATGTGGATTATGCAAGTGAGGTGCAACAAGTCTAGAAAGTTATCCAAAATTTGAAACACCATTTAGTAAGTGTTTAGGGGCAATCATCTGACAGAATCTAACACCCAGAACAGCAGCAGATTTTCAAAAGTGCTCAGCATGTAGCAGCTTTCCTAATCTTAACTGAGGAAGATGCAAGGAATTCCTTTTGATGGTAGCCACTTTTTAAGGTAGAATATACGTTAGACAACACGCAGTGTCTGACAGGAGGAATCTGTCTGAAGAGGGCACCTGCTTGCACAGGGAATTGACATTCAGGCCTCCTGAGTGCTATTCTGGTCTTTGATATTCATGAGATGCCTGATTTTGGCTAATCATTTGATTCTATGCTTTAAGTACGTGTGATTAATAGCTAGATACTGAAAGCTAATGTTGCAGCAGAAGTGATACGAAACTGATTTTGAAAGTGGCCTTTGGGCATCTACTCACAGACAGTGCAGACACAGTCTTTGCCTCAGTTTTGTAATCTTTGTAAAAACTGATTTAATACTCTAGAGAGAAGGGATGCCATCCACAGGGACTTTGAAAGGCTTGGGAATGGGACAATGTGAACCTCATGAAGTTCAACAAAGCAAAGTACAAGGTCCTGCAACTGGGCTGGGGCAATCCCCAATACCAATACAAACTGGGGGATAAATGGATTGAGAGCAGCCCAACAGAGAAGGACTTGGGAATACTGGGGGATGAAAATTCGGACATAAGCCAGCAATGTGCACTTGCAGCTGAGAAAGACAATGGTATCATGCATCAAAAGAAACGGTGCCAGCAGGTCAAGAAATGTGATTTTCCTCAGTACAAGAATGACATGGACCAGTTAGAGTCCAAATGAGGGCTACAAAAATTATCAGAAGGTTGGAGCACCTCTCTGATGAAGAGAGGCTGAGAGGGTTGGGATTGTTCCATCTGGAGAAGAGAAGGCTTTGGAGAGACCTTATTGTGGCCTTTCAGTATAAAAGGGGGGATTATGAGAAAGGTGGAGAAAGACTGTTTAGCAGGGCCTGTAGTGACAGGACAAGGGGTAACAGTTTTAAACTGAAAGAGGATAGATTTATATTGCATCTGAGGAATAATTTTTTTCTATGAAGGTGGGAGAGACACTGGAACAGTTTGCCCAGTGAAGTTGTGGATGCTCCATCACTGGAAGCATTCAAGATCAAGTTGGATGGGGCTTTGAGCAACCCGATCTAATGAAAGGTGTCCCTGTCAATGGCAGGAGAGTTGGACTAGATGATCTTTAAAAGTCCCTACCAACCCAAACCATTCTATGATTCTATTCCTAGAGGTCCTCATTTGACAGCCAGTAAACATGGAAAAGTTCCTCACATAAAATAATGTTTTCAGATCATCTTATGCATTTTCTTTTTAACACAGGTGCAAGGGGAGCTGAAGAGAAAATGGCGGAGTTTGTGCTGGAAGCAGACAGCAGGCAGAGATTACCGACTCCACAGCTCTTCAATTTCTCGAAATGGATCAGAAAGTGTTTCTCAGCTCCACCGGAATTCAAGGGCTCAGTCATTTCTGCAGACAGAGACCACCATGATATAAATCAGCTAGGTCCCTCAAAACATGAAAAACTGTGGATATATCATTCATTATGCAGCTTGATGTGATATTTTACAAAATGTACAGTTTAGTGCTTTGCTTTTCTCCATGTTGGTATTTGGGAAATTGGTTTGTGCAGCCAACCAGTTAATAACAGACACAGCTGACCAATGGATGCTTTCTGGTTTGGTTTTTTTTTTTTTTAAATGGTATTCATATTAATTCTGATGTTCTCTTGGCGTTTACTAGCTGTAACTATTCAAAAACTCATTTACTGCAATGGTCCCTTTACCCTCCGACATGTCTACAAGATAGATGTATGGTATCGTGTTCAATGCAGACTGCTTTGGTACATGTTGAAGAGGTTAAGATGGGAAGCAAGAAAATTTTTTACGCTTTATTTATACTGAAGGAAACATTAATTTCCTTAAGGATTAGGAAATTCTTTCCTGATTATGAAAAACAAAAAGAAAAATAAAGAAGTGTAAGACTATAATTAACTGCACTAGGAGTTTAGTGTGCTAATCCAGGAAATCTTTAACACTTATACAGAGGGGAAAAGGATAATACTTCTTGGCTAATTGTATAAATTTCAGAGGTTACTTTCTACAGAGTTTTATTCCAATCCCATTGTTCCTTTCAGAAGTGCCTGGTTTTAAGTTTAGGTGCAGAAAGTATGGTTGCCTTTGCAGTCTGAACAGAAAAGACTATTTTGATTAAAACATCTGCATTCTCCAGTACTGCTATTGCAATCACCAGTTGTTCTGTTTAAAATCAGATGTTTGTGTTCTTTTATTAAACAATTTTCTGTAGAGGTGCTTTATTGCTAGAGCAGTCTGGCATAGGATAAACAGCCTTGGATAGCATATTGCCCGTTGAGAATATAATTTTTATATAATACTTTCACTGAAATATGTCTCTAGAACGACATACTTGGCAGATAAAACAAGGAATATTGCAATAAAGTTACCACTCCCATTTAAGGAATAATGTAAATTCCTTCAGCTTAATTCTATTCTGTATCTATCTGAGCTGATAAAATTTAGTCCTGACCATGACTCCAGCAAAAAAAAATTAGAATCCCTAAAAATTACCATAAAAGGCATAAATAAAAGGAATTTTCAACAACGCCAAGCCTCTTATGTAGCCACTTTGTAAAAAAAAAAAAAAGAAAAAGACATAGAACTGACAGATTCTTATATACACAGAACATTTGCACTCTTTAAAAGAAATAAACCCAGTGATGTTTACTTCCCATGTCATGTTTAACTGTGTCCACTCTAAATAGCAAGTGAGAATTAGATATGTTTGCATGAGTAACTCTGATCCATAAAAACAATTGCACTGATATTTGAAATGACAGAGTCTATGGAGCTAGCAGAATCCAGGATCCACCATATTGCCAGGTAAAGGGAATAATAGTGGAAAGGACAGGTCTTGGCAGACATACATGTACATTCTTGAAAATATTGCCAGTACTGGAGATATTGTTGGCAGCTGTCATAGTGTCCATGCATCTCTTGGTCTGATTTAATTCAGCTCTTTGTCAGTCAAGCACCATTTATTTTAATGGGATTTCCCTGGAGAGATACAAATTTATGTCAGACCAAAAATAGAGAAGGCCCCATGGTTCACATGAGTCCTGCAGAACGGGTAAATCGGTGTATGTCACATGACACCAACCTTTACATAGTGGGTATCATGTGACTTAAACAATGATCACTGGATGAATTGTTACTTTGCCAGATTCAACTTTAAAGATGCTACTGGTCACCTCCAGTTGTTCAGTGTTTTCTGCTGTGACTTGGTGAAGTAACTATGAGATTTTAGTGTGAAGTAGGTTGCCAGTGACAGTCCCATGGGGTCTAAAGATATGCCCCTACACATGTATTTAAATATATTCCCAAAGTATTTAGACTCCAGAAACACTGCTAACCTTGAGTATTTTTCCTAGATCTCTGAACAAACTCTTACCTGCAAATATAAGAAGACACATTGGAGCTTTGAGGGTTGCTCCTATACCTAAATTAAACACATCTCTGCACTTTAGGCTTCTTTATCTGAAGTGGCATTAGGACTGCTCAGCTCCCTGAGGTGTGATGTGCAGGATGTACTTTTCTCCCCAAATTTGACAAGCATTCAAGTGTACTCATCTTTATGTTCAAATGAGGTTCTTTGAGTGAGTTGACACAGAGACAGAGTGATGGTATAGAAAAGAGATTTCAAGCAATCAGTTCTATAAGTGTGTTCTGCATGATGCATCACCAATTATATGTGTTTATAATTCATTGTATCCTAGAGAAAACTATCTTGGTTCTAATTAGGTGAGCATGGACCAAATCTACATATTAATGATTTCTGGATTATAAAACAGAAAAGCTTAAATAAGAAAATACATTTTAATTTGCAACGAAACAGCATGGCTTCCTTTAACAGGGTGCAGATGCATTTGGACTTGTTTCTACTTTTCATATAGGAGTAATGCCATATGAGACACTGAAGTTGTACCAGTGGGAGAACATAGATCATATCACTAAATTTGTAAAGGGACATGTGGGCATGCAAAGAATGACATGCAAAGGAGAGAGGTGCTACATATATTTTTCTTTCAAACTAGTGAAAAGTGCAGTACTTGCTAGAACCTCATCCCTCTATTAAAAATCATAGAATCTAAATACAGAAAATATGTTTTCTGTGAGACAGTTTAACTTTATAATGTTTTGTGCAAACATTTTCATGTCAGAAAAGGCCCAGAGGGCACTGTGCTCACTTGTTCTTACTCCCAGAAAATTGGTGATGGGTGCTGTAGGTAGCCAGCTGAGTAACTACCCAATTTAAGCATACATTGGTACTGTAGTGTCAATAACTATTTGGTGGCAAATAGCATTACAAAAAGCCTTCTACAGTCAAGTTGGAGGCATCCTGCCCCATTCTGTAGCATCTACTTCATGTCCCAATGCACCCCGCACAGGCTTCCCTCTGCCTTTAACATGATGAAGGGAAAAGCAACAGACACAGACCCTCAGCAAACCAGAGAATCTGTCTGAGACAGCTTTATGAAATAAAGCATTGCCAACTGCATGTCTCAGACACCATGCATAAAGATTAAGATGAGTCATTGGCATTATTTGTCTCCTATTTTTGTGAATTCTAAAAAACATCTGTTGACTGTGAATTTGTCCATTTCAGCAAAGTGATAGTGAATAAAGTCCAAATTCACTTTATACAGAATTTTTTCAGACATCTCTAATGAAAAGTGAATTGTTAAATAAGTCCGATAAAAAAGAAGAACCAGCAAGTAAGCTGCAGAGTAAGCTGCTATGTATATAAGGGTTATTGTCTGAGCAATTATTGTCTGTGCATAGGGATACAGGAAAGACTTTTACAAACAAAAGTACCTTCACATTACCATGAGTGCCTATATAAGCTGTGGGCTGTCAGTACTACCCTGACATAACCAAATAGAAGTTAGTACGCAGTGCTGTTCTGTTGAAGAAAAAACACTAATAATAATGTGTTCTAACGTGTACGTTATGAGAGTACATCAGGATAACATTTAAAAGGAGCATTCTGTGATACGGTTTAACCACTTCGTGTTGAACCTAGTTCTGCCCAATGATAACAGTATGTAGCTAAATCTAAGTCAGTAACATTTCCATTGTCAGCTAAACCAGTGGCTGAAATGTCACAACCCCCTTTATTTTCCAAAGCACAGTAATAAGTTTATGATAACCTGTAGCTTTTTTTTTTTTTTTTTTTCCCCTGGCACATTAGTATGGGTATTGTTTTGAAATTCTCTTTCGTCATCTTTATCAATAACTTTTTATCTGTCAAGTATGGTAAAAACTAAAAATGATGTAAATGAATGTGATTATTTTTTACAAAATGTACAGACTATGATGTTGTACAGATAAGGTGTGTAAATAGATTTCATACTGTAATTCACTATACTTTTCTTCCGGTTTTGCTCTTTTGTTCTTTTCTGGTTTCAATGTCACATACCTAACAGCCTTCTCTGAGATACCTTATATATAAAGCTGTGAACAAATATGTGTTTACATCTTTATGCTATTAGAGATAATAGTTAATAACACCATAATGGACTGAAGAGGAATCAGAGAATAAAAATTTTAAAGGTTTTGCACAGAACTTCTTTTATTTATGTGATTTATCTGTTTATGAGATGCACTCAGAAACCATATTTTCAAAACTGAAAATGGTGCTCCTGCCTTGGCAGCTCAGGATTCCTCGGCTATGTAATTAAAAGGTAATTGTATCGCATGGAAAATGAAAGGCTGAGGCTGCTCACGCCATGGGAATGGGCACAGGGGAGAGCCACACCAGGGTGAGACTGGCGGTGGTACACTGCTGGCGGGGCCAGCGCGGGAGGTGGGCACGTGGAGGAGGAGGTGGCACCTCATGGGGCAGTGTACGTCCCCTGGCAGTGGCAGCCAGCAGGGACAAAGGACAGAGTGCCATTTTGCTGTCCCTCACAGACCAGGGGATCTGTCCCCTTCTGTGTGTATCCATAGTTATCACAGAAGCTATGTCACCAGGAAGGGTTTTCTGACCCTTTGAGAGACATCAGCTCTCATCCTTTCCCACCTTACACGTGTGCCTGTATGAGCTGCATTTTTACAATGCATTACATGGCTGCAGAGCAGTTCAGTGTCCTTGCCCACATGCATGTGCTCTCTCCCTCATTGCTATTTGGGTGGCTGCACAACCAGATCACCTTGACATCTGCAGGTGAGCTGCTTTAGGGCCGATGAGCCTGAACACGAAGGAGAGCCAGGTGGAGGTGAGCAGGGGCACAAACAACTGGCCTCATTCCCATCAATGCTGGCAACACCGCCTGCAGGTTTCCATGGGAAGTCTAAGTCCTGTTGAATGCAAAACCCAGATCTTTTACAAAAATTCTGGATAATTTTAACACTGACAATTCTGACAGACTCCTGCAGCTAGAGGAATGGATGTCCCCAGAATAAAAGCAAAAGTCAGTATATTGAGGGGGAAAGAGAGTAGGGAGCCTGCACTCAAGAAGTAGCTGAAAGATACAAACACTTCTATTACAACTTCTGAATGGTTATACCACGCAGCACCAGCTGCAGCAGTCTCTTAGTGCTGTACTTGCAGCCACTGGACACACAGGCAGGCTTGAATACAGCACAAAGCTCCCACTTTTCTCTGATTATTCCAAGGAGCTTCTAATAGGGATATTGGAAAAGGTAAAAGAGGTCAGCGCCTTGGACAGTGAAACAGTCAGAAAGACGGGCTGTGCTCCCCTCCCCTCCCCTCCTCTCTGTAAGACAGCAGACAGCAAAAGAAAAGGTGTTGCAAACCCTGTGTGTGCACATGTGTGTGTGTGTGTGTGCACACTCATATAAATTTGGGTGTGGACTCTAGAACAAGGTTGCTTTTATAGGACATCTTGTTTTTCCTTGGCAGCCCGTAAAGCAAATCCCAATCTAGCTCCCAATTCTAGTTCTGTTCGCTTGTCCCCGGGCAGAGGTCAGCCCTTAGGTGACAGGTGACAGTCTAGAAGGGGATTTACACTGACCATGAGGAGGGACCAGGTGCTCGGTGAGAGGTCTGAGAGCCTGTGCTCAGGAAAAGCAGCAATCTCCACCTCATTCTACACGATCTGCGTGTAGCATCTCTGTAACACTGAGTTGTCAGTGGAGTTTAGGGGGTGACTTAGTGCAGCACCTCTGTGGCAGGATAGAGGTCATTCCAGTTTGCAAAGGGGATTCATTGGAACGCACAATGCTATTGAGTTAATACAAAGTTCCAAATAATCAGACCCTATGTGTCCAATTGAATAAAATGCAATGCTTTCTATTAATGTCTTAGTTTGGGCTGAAATAGAGTTAATATTCCTTTTCAGGGACTAGATGAGTGCTGTGTTTTGGATTTAGCTTTGGGTTTGGTATGGGAAGAATGCTGATAGCACACTGATGTTTTCAGCTGCTTCAAGGACTCTCCGACTCTCCATGTCCTGCCCGTGCACAAGGGCACAGGGAGCAGGGAGGGAGCATGGACAGAGCACCTGACCCGAACTGGCCAGTGAAATATTCCATATCATGGAACGTCATGCTCACTGTACAGAGGAGGGGTGGTCGGGAAGGAGCTCTCTCTCTCTCTCTCTCGCTCGCTTCGGGGATTGCGACTGTGGGATCTTGGTATTTCAGGGTCGCTGGCCGGGAACGGGCTGGGGATTGGTCAGCGGGTGGTGAGCGATTACGCTGTACATTGCCTGTTTATATATTTCTTTTTGGTTTTCCCCATCCCAGTCCTATCTTGAACCCCAAGCCTGGCTCTCTGTCCCTTCTCATTGCCGGAGGGGAAGGGAGAGAGAGCTACTGCATTGTGGTTGGATGCCCATCAGGCCTAAACCATAACAATTAATTAAGTTCTATTATTTATAATTGACTGTATTTTAATACCCTCATCTTTCCTTAACAACATAGGCTGGGTTATATTGTAAACTAGCTGACATACAATTTAGGTTGAATTATTGTATCAAACCATTTAACAAGTATATGTTGTATCAAACTAGTTATGGATTGTTCACATAAGAAAAAAAATTTTCTAGTAGTGTCCTACAGAATATAGTCAGTGCCCTAGGATATTCAATTAAATATGAATATTGGATTTGGAAGATGAAATCAAAATGAAGAGCTGTGCTTCATTTTGGAGCCCTTTGTTTTTGAGCTGGTGCCTTTGCAATTGAGGCTGCTTCTTACCACAATCCTGTTAAGCTGTGAAATTCTCTGTTCAGAAAGGCTTCATTTAACAATAGCCCTCAGCCACTGCTTATCCCTGGTTTCCTGCTTACATTCTTCACCTGCTCTTAATTAGTGCCTTGGGCTTTGTCTGCCTGTCTCTGTAGGATATGAAAAAATACTCTGCAAATAATGAGGGTATAAGCAAGTTTATAACAATATAATTAATAATGGATCCTGACTACTAGGGGACATTTTGTTATACAGAGCTGTATTCATGAGAAGCAATTTGAAAATTAAAATATAATCTGAGTAATACAGAAAATTGTGCTGTAGAGGATGATTGTGTCTCAGCCAGGTGATGAATTGGACAATTTAATCATTCCTGCAGATTCTAGCTTCTGTTATTCAGATAAGTACCCAAACCATATGGCCTGTTTTAAAAAACACTTAACTTGACCTTATTACTCAACAATAAAAACAAGAAGAAAAATAGTTTCCCTCAAATACACAACATCTTTAAAGAATCATTTTAATTTTGCCTATAATGACCATAATATACTGTTTCTTGGATTAGGGCAATAATTTATCAGTTTAGATGCTTGAAAGTACTATTTTGTCTTGTAACATATGGAATTAATATAGTTAATAAGTTTTTAAAGAATCCTTTAAAATCCCAGCATATAACTTACTCAGGATATAGCTCTGGTTACTCATCCTTATGCCCCAAATATGTGCTGACTCCAGCTTGGAAGACACAGACAATATTGGGTTTTTGTCATTTAGGCCCAGTTCATTTCTCTGTAACTTTAAATGTCTCTGTTAACTGTTCTATTTATAAATCCACTTTCTGGCTGGATGCAAAGCCACAAATCCAGCCTGATCACCGAGCCTGCCTCTGGGATGTCTCCCGTCCTGCCCTCAGGACCTGCCTGACTCCTGCGAGGGGCTGCAGCGGGGGGACGGACGCGTGGCCCCGCAGCGCGTTCAGCAATCCCAACAGTGCTGCTGCCCTCATGCACACATTTCCCTCTCATTGTCAGTCTGACAGGGTCGTGTTATAAGTATGTTGGGGTTTTCCCATTATTTCAGCTGCTTATGAAATCTGAATCTTAATTTAAACTGAGCAATCACTAGTTTTATTGTCCCACTTCCATGACATTCAGTAGGAAGATACATACATTACAACCTTCTCTAGCTTCACTGCAGTGAAATATTGAATTTACAGCAGTGCTTTGAAACAGCTTAGTGAGGAGGGAGAGGGTTTTATTTAAAAGGATTGATGTTGAGTAACAAGTGTTCTTGGATGCATAAATGTTAGGAGAAGGAGTTTTTGAGGTTCTGCTACCTATGCAAATTTCCAGACAAAAGTAAAATATTGACAGGCATCGCATAAACTGAGGCTGGAAGTTAGAAGGTTGTTTGCAATCACCAGAGGAGTGAAGTTCTGAGAAAGCCTCATGGCATCTAAGGAAAATTCCATTTTTAGCTTCCTGTTATATGGTTTAGAGGGAGTAATATGGTATGAGTATAAAAAAGCAGGGGATTAGACCTCATGACCCATGCACTTACACTTCCTACACTCCCATAAGACTATGGGATCTTAACTGCATTAATATGTCCAAAGATTTGGAAAGAAATAGGAAAAATTAGAAAAAAGTTATAAGTTTTTCCAAATCTGAGAGTTTAAACATGTAAATGAATCAATTACAAAAATAATTAGACTTTGATCTGTTGTCAACTGGTATCATAAAACCCCCTATGAATGCTGTTCCAGTCACTTGTTTCAGCTGTAGATTCAGTCTGACATCGTTCCATTGTGCCTGGATGAACAGAAACTGCTGTTGATGTACATACTTTGGAAGAAAATGTGAGTACTATGAAGAGATTTTTAGTCTGAGTTCATCTTCTGCCTCTATTGTGCTCTGTATTCATCCCTAGCCTAGAAAAGTTCTTCCAATTACCTATTCATACACTGTTCCATGAATAGTACAACTGTACTTCTATATATGTTCTCCAAATGTCTGGGCTGAATAGTTTATTTCCTCTGAGTTGTAATTATTCATCTCGGCATTTGGCAAAGTTTTTGAGTGGTTTTTACTTTCCTCATGCAATGTGTCATTAGGTTTAAAAAATAGTGGTTTCTTCGGACAATCTGGATACTGCCGTATTTGGTTGACTCATAGGGTAGAAAGTGGCTTCTGACCTTCACAACTAACCGATTTAGTACATTTTAAAAATTCAGATTAAGTCAAAATAATAAACTGAAAAAAAACCATGCAGGAAACAGATGTGAAGTTGTGGAATAAAATGGGGTCAAAACTAGGATCTTTCTTTGAGGAAATAAGATTATACTCTTGGAAGATCAAAGGGAAGCTTGGTTTGGGAGGCCACATATAATATGAGGTGGGTGGAAAAAAGTTT